TATATTTTTTATTTCTATATTGTTATTTCTTTTAATAAAAAAAAAAAAACTTACTTCAATGAAATTTAATGTGAAATTTATTTAACATCATAAAAATATTAGAAAAAAAAAAAAAAATATTCTTACAAATTGTTTATAATGATTTTGGATACAATCATTATTTCAAATTTGTAATTAACTTTATTTATATTGACAGGAAGTTTATTCCAATGTGTTATTTCGTTCGTTGAATAAAAACAAATTGTAGAACATTGTTTTGTGCGCAGGTTTTCTACATGTGCACCTATTTTCTTTCACGATCGATAAAAATATCATCATGTGTGTTAGCACGGTGACTCGTTTCAAATGATTAGATATTATTATTATTACTAATAAGTTTCGATTAAACGAAGTGTTTAGAAATTTATTGATCAATCGATAATAATTTGTGAATTTTGTTCATTAAGACAAAATCTCACTAAGACAAATTCTTTTGGAATTCAATTTGACAAATTAACGATAAATAATTATAATTCCTAAACAAAATAGTTGAACATCAATTTATTTCTTAGTAGAAATATTTGATTAACCCATTACCAGCCATTGGCAGCCCTTTTATTTTTTTTTTGAAGATGCATTTTGAAATTCTTTTATTTAATAACTGCAACTTGAAAATAAAGTTGATATAGTACTTTCGTGTTTCATGAAAATATAATAAAAATATAATTCAGTAATATATTTGAAATCAACAATTAATGATATAAAAGTAATTTTTATATTTAAATAATAAAAAAAATAAAACAATTATTGTGCAAAAATAGTATGATAAAAAAAATGAATATTATTATACACAGTTACTTTAATTTAATTTTACATTATCGTATTGTACCAGGTAATGGATAATTTCACTTTAAGGTGAAAACACCAAAATTCTTGACAAAATGTATTTGAAATGAATATGACACTGATTCAGCCCATCGTTGGTAAATAAAATTCGTTAGAAACATTTAATTCAATCAAATCGATCTATAAATAGATCTGATTTACTTTCAGGTATTTTTATTTCATTTTCGTATTAGTAAAACATCGTTAAAATCGTTAAACGTGTTCCTAATCGATATATATACATATATATATTTTTCAAAAAGAAATCGAAGAAATTGTGTGCGTATAATTTGTATATATATATATATATATATATATATACAAAGAACGAAATAATAATGCTATATCATGGTTATGTCACGAAGGAAAACAAACTACAATGCATGACAAAGGTGTTAAATCGATTGATACAAAGAAAACAAAAAGAAGAAGAAAAAAAAAATCTTCCAGAGTTATAATAAAAAAGTTATTGGATTTTTTCATATAAAAAAATATAATAATAATAATAATAATAATAATAATAATAATAATAATACGAGAACAAAGGTTAGGAATTTTATACATAAATTCAGTGATTTTTACATTATTTAATTAATTATAATATTAAATAATTAGAATTAAAAAAAACAAAAAATTTCACTTGATTTTAATTGTATTCAATAAATGTTGTAATAAATTAAAATCAAATCAAATGAATTATCGAATATGTGTTTTTTTTTTTTTTTTTTTTTTTTTTTATAATTAATTTGAAAATGAGTCTCTCGTATGACATGTAAAAGAACAGGTTTTCAAATGTATAATTTCAATGATGAAAAGTGAAAGGTAAACCTACCGAGTAGAAAAACGTACGTAAAAGACAAGTGAATAATACGAACACCAAATGACTGACTGTGGATGCTGTGCCATGTGTTACGCTTATATCAGCTTCTATGTATGTATACATACCCCCCACCCACCCACCAACCCCCCCTTCAAGCTCTAATGTTCTAGTAAATCGGTAACGGGGGGGGGGGGGCCACGTAAGTGAGATACATCGTAAAAAAAACATTCACCATGTTGATGTCTTTGTAAATGACTTGATGATCGTAGGACGTAAGTAATACTTGTATATGTATACACACACATATATATATATATATATATGAAAGGTTTGACGATGATAAAAAATTCGAAATTGACTAAGGATTTAAAGAAATATTTTATGTACCTTCTTTTTTTCTTGTATTTTTAATTAATTATTATCATCAAAATTATTATGACGATTATAGATATAATCAATTATTATTTAATTTGTTTTTTTTTTTTGGTAGGTATAAATATATATGTAAATTATGTATTTTGTATTTTTGTTAATAGATTGTTATATATTTATTTTTTTGGATAAATTGTGTAACGATATTTTTTAATTTATATTATTTTATCTATTTATATACTATAAACCTATTCAATAAAATAATATATATATATATAATAATAATATATAATAATATATCAATAAAATAATACTTCAAATATATTAAATAAATAATAAATAAATAATAAATATATAATAAAATATTATATAATTATAATAAATATATTTTTATTTATAATATGTAATATTTATATTTAAATAATATTATATTTATATTTATATAATATTATATATATAATAATATAATAATAATAATATAATTTCTATATATAATATTATATATTTATAATATAAATATATTTTTATTTATAATATGTAATATTTATAAAATTACTAAATAATAAATAAATAATATTACAATCTCTGTAAAATTTTCTTTTTTTGTAGTTATAAATATATATATATATATATAGATTACTTTATATTTTCATCAAACTAGATAGTTATATTATTTTTTTTTTTTTTAGATAAATTGTATAACGATATTTTTTAATTAATATTATTATATCTATTTATATATCATATACCTAATTAATATAAAATTACTTTAAAATGTTATTACCCTTTTTGAAAAAATAATACTTCCTTCAAATATAATAAATAAATAATACACAATGAATATATAAAAAAAAAAAAAATTGGGATAGATTCTAATCTTATCATTCGAACTGGTCATGTTTTGTAAATTTGTTTTAATGAAAAAAAAATAATAATAATAATAAATTCTGGTAATGAGATGGATGTCTGTCATTTAACAGGACAACGAGATTTAGTAAATTTCTTACAGCCTTTTACCAAAGTCAAGTACTTCAAAGTACAATCCTGTCGTTCAATTAGATCTTATTTAGACAATGTGTTATAGCCGAGATACGATTGGTCGTATCCGTTACAAAGTAGCATTGCACAAAGTAATGCATAAATGGATATTGGGTTAATAGAATAATTTGCGAGATGTAATGGAAGAACCGCGAGCACTTCTAGATCTTATCATTACCAAGATTTACATATATCTATATATATATATGTATGTATTTAAGTGTATTTAACATTGATTAATAAATTATTTATCCAAATATAACGAAATACTTTAACTGTACAGCTTTATGTAACACTACGTTATGTTATTGACAAAAATACATTTTTCTTTTTGTCATAACACATATTTGTTGAAATTCATTAAAATATAATATTTTAATAAACATATAACAATTTTCTACGTTGTTTCTTTCATACTCGTTCATTTATTGATTGATGAATAAAAAATTCCTTTATTTACTCGAATCGTTATATAAACAATCAATAATCTTTCATTGTCAATTTGTATATTAAAATAATGATGTGAATAGTCAAAGACAAAGTTAATTGTAAATATGAATTATTCAAATTAGTAAAATATAAATGATTTTAAAAAAAAAAAAAAGAGAAAAGATTGTAATTATTATTAAATAAAATGTTAATATGTATATAATGATTACTGTATTATACAAATTCTAGAAAAACAAGATTGTTTATCATATGAATTATCGGAATAATACGTCATAATAAAATCAATACTGTGTATGTAGGTGAGATTTTATGTTATGTTATGTTATGAGATATTATGTATTTTTTTTTTGCTAACTTTTGTTATCTGTATACTTGAAATTAAAAAAATAAATTATATATATATATATATATAATAATATATATATATACACATACATAAATATGTGTAGCATATTATATAAATTATAATATAAATTAGAATTATAATATAAATTATAATTATAATATAAATATAATTATAATATTAATTATAATTATATTATAAATATTAAATAATATAAATTATAATATAAATATAAAAAAATATAAATTATAATATAAATATATAAATTTAATATAAATTATAATTATAATATAAATTATAATTATAATATAAATTATAATTTTAATATAAATTATAATTTTAATATAAATTATAATTATAATTATAATATTAATTATAATTATAATATAAATTATAATTATAATTATAATATTAATTATAATTATAATATAAATTATAATTATAAT